GCCCCCTCTGACAGCCTGACCTGTCCCCTAGCTAGGGACCCAGCCCCTCTGACAGCCTGACCTGTCCCCTAGCTAGGGACCCAGCCCCTTCTGGTTTCTGGATCAAAGTCAAGCCTCCAGGCTTTGAGACTAGAGTTGGAAGAAGCAGGGAGGAGCCCAGGACAAGGCTTCTTGGGTGAAGACCCCCTCATCTCTCTCACCATGCCCACTGTGGGCTCACACCCTGAACCCTGAAGTTCTCACCCATGGACACATCTGTATTCCTAGAATACTTTCCTCTGCTTTCTCTATTTGGCCTGGCTAACTCCTTCCCTCCCCGTGTGTGTGTGTCAACTAGGGGAGCTTCTTCAAGTGGCACAGACCTCCACTTCCGTTCCGGAACACCCATCAGAAACCTGCACTGGGATGGGATACAGGGCTTTGGTTAATGGTTGTGCCCCGCCCCCACAGTCAGGGAGGCAGAACTGGGTGGCACACTAGTTAGTCTGGTTCTGGAGCTCCCTCTGGTGGCAAGGGAAGGCTGTACAAAGAGGGGGTCAGAAGGGTAACGGGGACCATCTCTCTCCCAAAAGCAGGGTGCAAAGACATGACAACACCTGACAGCGTGATAGAAAACAGCTGATGTTACAGCACAAGATCTATAAAAAACATTTCATCCCAGCAAAAGCAGCAGGAAATGGGGTGGAACTGGTTCAAAGTACGTAGACAGTCCAGATCTGGGAAGGCCTGTCCTTGGTTGGTTCCCAGAGCACCACGTGGTCCCGGTCATAACCTCGGCCACCTGAGGGGGAGATTCAGAGGTGGTCAGGGTGCCGGAGACAGCACTGTCTCGAGTCCCCTTGGGTACCCCTCCCCCCCAGCCTACGTTACCCTTCACATCGAGGATCTGGCCTTCAAACATCTGGCTGCAGATGTGACCCAATTCACTGATGCTCCAAGTTTGGCGTGGTAGGCGGCTCTCGGCCCAAAGTACTACTTTGGAGCCTGGGCTAGGAGGTCCAATCACCTGTAGGCTCATAGTGGGGGCCACCTGAGGCCCCAGCAGATCATTAGACATTGCATTCCCCACAGGAAATCTCCCAAGCTCAAGCTGTCCTTCAGACACTGGCTTTTTGTTGCTTGTTTTGTCTTTGAGACAGTGTCTCACTATGTAGCCTTGGCTGGCCTGGAGCTTACTATATAGACCAGGCTGGCCTTGATCTTACAAATATCCAACTGCTTCTGCCTCCTGAGTGCTGGGATTGAAGGCATGTGGCACCATACTCAGCTCATAAGCTGGTTTTGAATGCTGGCTATTACAACTGTAGCCCTAGGTAAGTTTCTTTATCCTTTTTAGATTTATTTATTTTATGAGGGTTTTTCCTGAATGTAAATCTGTGCACCACATATACGCCTGGTACCCACAGAGGTCAGAAGTGGGCATCAGATCCCCTGGAAATGGAGCTAGAGATGGCTATGAGGCATCATTTTTGTGCTGGGACCTGAACCCAGGTCCTCTGCAAAAACAAGTGCTTTTAGCTGCTATGTCACTTCTCCAGCCCTAAATACTGGTTTTTGGAAGGTTTAACATGAGAAAAATAAAAGAGGCCGCATTCTCTACTTCCTCCATGCATCTTGGATCTAACTGGGCGGAGACTTTGCAAAGCAGGGTGGCAAACCTGGAGCTCAGCAGAGCCAGCTCCGGAATCTTTACCTGGTTCTTCAGCAGTCCCTCTTCATAGTACCAGACGCAGCTGCCCCCAGCTCGGGGCTCAGAGACCACCACACGGCCTGCTTTCATGTCCTCCACGCGATCAGGCACTGACAGGAATCCCCCTAGCGCCGCATTCCAGAGGCGGAAGTAGGCTCGGCGCTGCGGACAAGGAGAGGCTGAGAGTCTGCAGCCAGGGGTGCCCACCACCCTCAACCCTGAGCCCTCCAGAAGACCCACACCCCTAAACTCTCCTTGCCTCCAAACTTTTCCTGACCCTGCTTCTAAATCACACCTTCTTTATATACCCATCCTGAGGGCACATGCATAACACATGTTCACAGTTCTGTGACCATAGATACCTACACATGTATCTAGGGTGCCTGGCCGATATACCCACAGTCCACAAGGTGGCACAGTTTACACAAAGCACAAACAATTCCACAGGTTCATGCAGTCATCACATTCATACATCATAATTGACACAAAGATCCCCCCAGTCTGTTCAGTACTAAGTACCTATGCTTGCTACAGGTACAGTTAATCGTAATAATACAAATGCACGCATGCACACATGTGCACACACATATACACATATACACATGTGAGTGCTCACGCACACACACAGAGAAATGCATGCATGCTAAAGAGAAATGCAGTGACACTAAAGAGCCAGAGATCAGAACGGGCTCAGCCGGCATCGGCAGGGCCTTCATTAGAGGTGACAGTCATGGAAACAACGAGGAAAGCCCTAGGTATCATCGGTGGAGTGCTTCCCACAAGTGTGTCACCCAAGGGTTCTGAAGTCATCGGTCCTCAACCAAGTCAGGACTGTTCCCGTTCCCTCATTTTATAGGTGAGGAAACAGCCGAGCATGATGGCACACGCCTGTAATCCCAGCACTTGGGAGGCAGAGGCAGGCGGATCTCTGTGAGTTTGGGGCCAGCCAGAATTATATAGACATAATGAGTCCCTGCCTTAATATATAGGTGTATACACACACACACACACACACACACACACACACACACACACGGAAACCAAGATCCCTGAGGGGCAGCGCTTGCCCAAGATTGCAAATAAACTCCTTGCCCACTTCCCTGGGCCTTTATTTCCCCCACTGCCATGAGAGTCTATGAACAGAGAGACTACACACATGCCCTTGTACATGGATGTATATATTCACAAGGCTATTGGGCAGAGGTGTGAGCAGGCACACATACACATACCCATGTCCATACACACAAAAACATACAAACACCTCCAGAGTACTTAGATGCATGACTTCAAATGATGCAGGCACAAACATACTCTTAGATGGGCACATATATGTGTGTGTATACACACATACACACAGGTTAGTACCCTACAAATGTATGTATGCAGAAATGAAGCCAACTTCTAGACAAGCAGGTACAGACATGCAGCTCACATGAAAGTTTCATGCTTCCCAAAGCCACATGTGCCGACTGCTGGTATGTGGAGCGTGAGGTGATTTTCGGCTTTGGGAGAATAAGTCTGTTGAACACGCTGTATAGTCTTTCAGGACAAACACAAAGTTGATTTAGTGGAGACTACTGGGGTGACGGTACAGGAAGAGGCCAAGGCAAACCGTGGCAGAAGGGCACAGATGTCAAGCTTTGAAACACACAGATGTGAGACAGACACACCCTGAGGTGCTCACGCCGACTGCTACCTACCTGTTTGATGGGGTAGAGGGAGCCCACCCTCTGGGTGCCGCTGTAGGTCAGCCAGTTGGTGATCTCGCAGCTACCTACTAGCCACTGTCGTCCCCGGAAGTCACTGTGCTCACACACCACCCAGCTGCACCCAGCAGATGCCAGAGACACAGAGGGACGCAGACAGACAGACAGACAGACAGAGAGGACAAGGCACAGGTGTTAGAAGAACCTCAGCGTCCTCTTCCCTCACACAGGATGGGGGAGGAGGAGGCTAATGAGCACATTTGGGGTTTTCAGGACCCAGCATTCAGCCAAGTCCTGAGACCCTCAGTCCACACTGCTCTCGCCTTCCTGGCCTGGAGTGGGGTCCCCAGCCCACCACTCACCCAACCCAGCTAGGAGCCCTGCCCCCCCCCCCCACTCACACGCCACCCTTGACGCGCACAGACAGCACGTGGTTGTTGAAGCCCTGGGCCTGTAGGCTTCGCACCTCCCCGGTCAACTCGATCTCCTTGCCCTCGAAGCACTCCAGGCCGAAGAGGGACAGGGAAGGCTCTGAAAAGTGCTGGAGTCAAAGGAAGAGAGATGAGGTCATGACCCGAGCCCAGGGCAGCTCTGTCTTACAGTCCCAACACCTGTGCCCAGACCTGCAGGCCTCCTAGTTTCTGAGGACATTTACAATTGGCAAGGTCCCCAGAGTTCAGTCCCAGCCTGTGACTGTCTGGCACCAGCTCAGTTCAAAATCCTCTCTCTGAAACATTTCTTGCGTGGATTATCTTAATTGTGTTCTTGAACAGGGACCTACTATATTGTTCAGACTATGCTGGAACTCACTGTGCAGCACGGGCCTTGGCTTCCTGCGTCCTGGGACTGCAGGCATGCCACTGTGCCTGGCTCAGATAGCTGGCACTCCTAAGAACTAATGGCCAGGCTGGGAACCTGGGGGCTCATTTAGCATCATCTCTGGTTGATATCATCCCAATGATGAGAACTAATAATCACATCTATGAATAACCGCCCACCTTTATCTGTGGCTCACTGCAGGCCAAGTCCTTGATAGAGCACTTTGTCCAATCTCATCCTAGCTCCTCACCGCCCCTAAGGAGCAGATGCTATCATGACCCCTGTTTAGCAGAGATGGCCCTGAGGCTGAAGAAGGTAAGACAGACAGATGCCTTGAGGCCCCAGATCTGCGCTCCTTCCCAGGTCTAAGTTAACTGTCCCCAGAGCCCAGTGTACTGGCGGGAAAGGGGCTCAAGTGTAGAGCCAGGCAGCCTGCGGGAACAGCTGCTGTCTGTCCCAGCTGTGCAACCTGGGGCAAATCAGAGTGGCTCTGAGACTTCATTTCCACATCGAGAAATGACAAGGAGCTTTACAAAGCCTTGGAAAGGGCCACCCAGCGAACGTCAGCACCACCCAGTCAGGCTCCTGGTCTCCACAGACACTGCTACCACCATCATAGTGTAGATACGGCTTCTGTCAGGCTCCTCCCAGGAACAGCAGTCACCTCTATTATGGGTCACCGAGGCAGCCTCCCCTTGCCTTGCCCCTTCCACCTCTCCTCTGCAGAGCCATCTTCCCAGATGATTCTGACAGCCCTTTCTAAAGGGGCAACACCTGGGCAAAAGCTGGCCCTGCCTCTAACTCTGAGTGTCAGTCTCTCCCATCCCAGCACTGCCTCTCATCTGGACCCATCATTCCACACTGCCACCTTTATAGGCCCTGGGTCTAATTAAGTCTGGTGCCTCTGGACTATTTCAGCAAGCGATCAATAAACGCCTGGTCAGCTGAGCTGCTTTGGGAGCCTCAGAATTGAGGAGGAGTCTGGAAGGTGATGTGTGAGACAGGACTCGGCCTCTCTGGCGTCTCAGGACAGGATAAGGAACTCACCAAGGGAACCTTCCGGAGAGAGCCCAGGACCGTGGAGGCCAGGCAGCCCATAGCTGTGAGAGTCGGGAACTCTCCTTCTGACACAATGTGCTGGTCCGCCTCAAAGTTCTTCTCCTCAAACAGGACCCAGCTGGAAGGGAACAGACATGGGAAGGTGACACTAGAGCCCAGGTCACCTTACACCTGCCAGGAACCCTGAGACCCACAGTGCATGCGGACTTGACGGTGTTCCTCTAATCCAGGAGGGGTCCAGGGACAGGAACTACAGCAGCAGGGACTGAGGTATGGGGGAAAAGGAAGAAAGAAAAAGAATAAAGCTAAAGGAGCCAGGCACAGAGTGCACTAAGAAAGCAGACGCAGGTCGATCTCTGCGTGTGAAGCCAGTCTGGTCTACATAGCAAGTTCTGGGCCAGCCAGGCTACATAGTGAAGCCTTGTCTCAACAAAAGCAGTCGGGCCGTGGTGGTGCATGCCTTTAATCCCAGCACTCAGGAGGCAGAGGCAGGTGGGTCTCTGTGAGTTTAAAATCTTTTTCTTAAAATATTTATTTATTATGTATACAATATTCTGCAGGCCAGAAGAAGGCACCTCATTACAGATGGTTGTGAGCCACCATGTGGTTGCCAGGAATTGAACTCAGAACCTTTGGAAGAGCAGACAATGCTCTTAACCACTGAGCCATCTCTCGAGCCCCCATCTCTGTGAGTTTGAGGCCAGCCTGGTCTACAAAGTGAGTTCCAGGACAGCCAGGGCTGTTACACAGAGAAACCATCTTGAAAAACCAAACCAACCAATCACAACAATAACAACAAAAAGCCAAAAGCCTACTAAGTTCCTAGCCAACTGTGGTGTTTGTGTGTGTTCTCTAAAGTGAGGCCAGGCTGTGAGACACTCCCAATCCCCATGTCTTCAGCTAGATAAATTCATTTAGTATATAAGCCTTGATTAGTGAAGCCTGAGGTTTGTCTTCTGACTCAGGGCCTTGGCCATCAGGCCCAAACTAGTGGGCAAGCCCCCTCTCCCAAGCCTTCTTCCTCCTGCATTCTTTTGCATGCTGAACTGTATCTCATCAGGCAAAACTATTCAAGTTATTTACATTAACTAATTACTTTATTTTCTGGGATAGGGTCTCACTAGGTAGCTCTGACTGTCCTATACCTCACTTTGTCGATCAAGCTGGCCTCGAACTCAGTGACTCTGCCTCCTCAAGTGCTGGGATTAAAGGTATGCACTACCATGCCTGCTTATGTGCATGAATTTATAATCTTAAAAAGACTATAGAAAAAAACAACAACAATGATGAATTAGGACTTGGGTATGTAGCTCACTGGTAGGATGCATGCCTAGTATATATGAGGCCCTGGGATCAAACTTTACCCTTGCAAACAAACACATGAAGAGTTCCTAAAAATTAAAAAAAAATATATATTAATCTAACTATATGCCAGATTTGTAATATAATCACAGACAAAAGTGATTATTTCAGGGGCCAGAGAGATGACTCAGAGGTCGAAAGCACTGGCTGCTCTTGCAGAGGATCTGGGTTTGGTTGTCAGCACCCACGTCGTGGCTCACAACTGCCTGTAACGCCAGTTCCAGGGCATCTGACGCCCTTTTCTCATCCCCACAGACACTGCATGCACAGGGTACACATACATTAACATACATGCAGACAAATTATTCAAATACATAAAACAAAGATAGGTCTTCTTTTTCGGAGCTGAAGACCTAATCTAGGGCCTTGCTCTAGCTATGTAAGCGCTCTACCACTGAGCTAAATCCCCAACCCCCAACCCCCAAAATGAATCTTTTTTTTTTTTTTTTTTTTTTTTGGTTTTTTGAGACAGGGTTTCTATGTAGCTTTGGAGCCTGTCCTGGCACTAGCTCTATGTAGACCAGGCTGGCCTCGAACTCACAGAGATCCACCTGCCTCTGCCTTCCGAGTGCTGGGATTAAAGGCGTGCGCCACCACCACCCAACCATCAAAATAAATCTTTTTAATAAGATTATTTTATACTTCTTTCAGATTTTCTTTTTCCCACGGGTTCCAGGGTGGCCTCAAACTTACAACACAGGCAAGGGTGATCCTGGGCTCTTGCTTCCACTCTCCAAGTGCTGGGATTAATGTTATATGTGACCACACCCAGCTCTGTCTACTTGTTTTTGCTTTTTTGAGATCGGGTCTCAGAGCCCAGGCTGGCTTCACAGGCATGACCCTGCTACTTCAGCCTCTAAGTGACGGGGACTAAAGGGACACCCTACTATACGGACCTCAAATTTCTTGAAAAGGTAGCTTTTTGACAAAAAGGGTTCCTTGTGGTTCTTTTTATCCTGGATTCTTCTTACACCTACAGTCTGTAACAGTCAAAAACCTACCTTTGAAAGAAATCTGAAGCCCATATAGTAGAACCGCAAGGAACCTCCATAGCGCTCAGTGGCTCCACTCTGGAGCAATAAAGAGCATTATAATTTTGAAGCACTTAGCATGCAGATTATAATGCATTATTGGAGGTGTGGCCTTATTGGAGGAAGTGTGTCACTGAGGGTGGGCTTTGGGGTTTCAAAAGCTCAAACTAGGCCTAGTGGCTCACTGCCTCTTTCTGCTGTCTGCCAATCCAGATGTAGAACTCTTGGCTACCTCTCCAACACCGTGTCTGCCTGTGTGCTGCCATGCTTCCTGCCATGATGATACTGAACCTCTGAACTATAAGCCAGCCCCAATCAAATGTTTTCCTTAATAAGATTTGCTAGGGTCATAGTGTCTCTTCACGGCAATAGAAACCCTATGACAGCCAGCATGTGTATGCCTGGTGACCTCAGACGTCAGAAGAGGGCATTGGGTCCCTTGGAACTGGAGTCACAGATAGTCATAAGACACCAAGGACATGCTAAGAACAGAACCCAGATTCTCTACAATACCAACTCTTAACCACTTGAGCCATCTCTCCAGCCCCCCCTTTTTATCATTTTTTAAATATTTATTTATTTATTATGTATACAATATTCTGTCTGTGTGTATGCCTGCACACCAGAAGAGGACACCAGACCCCATTACAGATGGTTGTGAGCCACCATGTGGTTGCTGGGAATTGAACTCAGGACCTTTGGAAGAGCAGGCAATGCTTTTAACCTCTGAGCCATCTCTCCAGCCCCCATTTTTATCATTTTTAATTATGTGTATATGTGTGGGGAAAGGAAGGAGGGGAATGAGCATGTTAGTGCAGGTGCCTGAGGAGGCCAGAGGCCTCCAGTCTCCTGGAACTAGTGTTACAGATGGTTGTGAGCCACCAGACAAGGGTCCTGGGAATCAAACTTGGGTTCTCTGCAAATACAGCAAGTGCTCTTAACCGATGAGCCATCTCTCCAGCCCTGAAAGTTTCTGAAATTTTGGAAAGGGGTCAGAATGTTTCCAAGTGTTTGTATGAGTGTGTGTGTGTGTGTGTGTGTGTGTGTGTGTGTGCACGCCACTGTACTCAGGTGAAGGTCAGAGGACTTTCAGAGTTTGATTCTCTCCTTCCACTGTGGAATGGATCCTGGGAATGAATTTAGGCAATCACACTTGCATGGTCATGGCGTTGACTCACTGAGCCACCTCACCAGCCTCAGATTTCTTTAAGTATAGTTATAAACGAACAAATTTCTGCTGTTGTTTAAGACAGGGTCTCATGCAGCTCAGGCTGTCCTTGAACCCCTGATGTAAATGAACTAAAGTTAGCTTTAAACTGACCTTCCTGCCTCTACCTCCCAAATGTTGAGATTATAGGCATGCATCCTTTGTTCAGTTGGGATTCTCTCCAGAGCTATATTTCATATTAAAATGTTATTCTATTTGTTTTAAAGTTGAATGACTCAGGACATAACAGTTAATCTTAAGGAAGAAAATCATCTGAAAGGTGGTACTCCTTGACCCCCACCCCCTACTCACCCACCCCCTACCCCAACCCATCCGCGGCCTCTCCCAGCACTCAGCGCTCCACCCCCTCCTCCTGCTCACCTGCCACCATGGACCCGGCATGACTGGATATGGAAGGAAGCGGGCAGAGAGGCCTGGTCATCCTCAAAGGAAATGTGGTCGCCCAGGAAGTTGGGGCCTGAGAAAAGCTGAATCTGGAGACAGAAGGGTGAAGAGGTGCGAGTGAAGGGTGAGGGGTGGGGCAGGAGGAAGGGCCAAGGGAAGAGAGATTTGCCCTCTTGTTAAGATCCCACCAGATCCCGCTCAACCGCCTCCTTACCTTCGAGACAAAGTGAAGATCGCTCTCTCCAACCTGCAGGGAGAGATCAACGCTGTGACTAAAGGAGGAGGCCAGCCTCAAGCCTCGGCCCCTGAGCTTCAAAACCGTTGCGGCGGTCCAGCTGTCCAGCAGCTACAAACTCCGCCTCTTCTAGATGCCCAGCCACAAAGAGCTCAGGCCCTCCTCGCCCCGCCCCCTCTGTGTGACACAGCTTGTCCCTCCCACCACCTAGGTCAGTCCAGCAGGTCTAAGCCCACCCATCTCCACCATTAATGCCCCTCCTCCCCTTCTACCCCTTTATCCTTCTCCCCCGCCGGCCCCCCCCCGTCACGCCCGTCCCCCGCCCAGCCTTGCCAGTCTGGCCCCGCCCGCCGTCTTGGCCCCGCCTCCGAGGCGAAGCCCCTCCCCCCATCAGGCACACACCTGCACAACGGGCTGAAGGGAGCCAAGGGCGCTGTTACCGGAGCCCCAGTCGTCGCAGTTGCGGTACACACCCTTCTCCAGGATGTACTGTTCGCCGGAGAAACCCACCTGCTCGTAGGCCACCCACCTGCAGGAAGGGCGTGGCTTGGGTCGGCGAGGGCGGGGTCGGCACTGCGCCTGGGCCCGCCCTGCGCCTGGGGCGGAGATTACTCACACGCCGCTGAGCACGTGGATGGCTTGCGTGCTGGGTCCGTGCTGCGCTAGCTCCACATCTGGCAAAGCGGAACTGACCTCCACGTAGTGCCCCTGGAAGTCCGTGTCCTCAAACAGCACCACGGCCGGGTCTCCAAAGTCCTGGGCCCCCAGAGACAGTCAGGTTTCTCCCATACACTGATGCTAACCCGTGAGAGTGCCCAGACCTCAAGGAAGCAGCCCAACCCGGGGAGTTGTGAGGTGCCGGTGTGTTCTAGGGAAGAGCCGCCAGAGGGAGAGAGACTAGCTCTAGGGTGGGTGAGGGGCACCATGCCAGGAAGAACAGGCAGAGGGGTGCAAATTCTTCCCTTAGATTGTGCTGGAGAAGTTGGGGTGTTGCCAGACAGAAAGATAGCCAAAAGCTCCTGCTCACCGTCCGGATGACCCGCAGGGAAGTCAGGAACTCATCATAGCCTCCCCACTGTGACCAGTCAGCATATTCGCCCTCTTCCAGCAGGTACTGGTGGCCCCGGAATCCCTCCTTCTCGTAGCCCACCCAGCTGGGGGAAGAGGAAAAGGGAAAGATGAGCCAAGACACCCATGAATAAGATAGTACACGCTGCACCAGACAGCCTAAGTCACTCTCCAACCTCAAGGGGAAAGCCTGTAGGGACAGGGCAGATAGGAGAAATCTCTTAAGTCCTCACCAGCCCCCAAGGATCCGCAGAGACCCCACAGATGTCAGCTGGGGGCTCCGGCTATCCTCTGGCTGCCGAAGGTTGTAGATGTCTCTGCTCACTTCCCAGCTCTGCCCTTGAAAATCTGGGGCCTCATATACCACAGCCTGGAAGAAAGGATGTCAGGGTGATAGATGCCATCTGGTCCAGATCCAGAGAGACTGGCTTTCTAGGAATGGCTCTACACAACACCAGCCTGAAGTCCCCCACTCTCCCTTGGAGCACTGTGGCCTGTCTGCTCTGACTTCTGACCTGATTCACACACCAAAGCCAGTGCCTAGTGAGTCCCTCAGGCCTGCCCTTCTAGGCCGAGCTTCTGCCCCCCACAGGGTCCTTATCTCCTGTCCAGGCTACAGTGACCACCCCTCAGATACACCAAATACCCTTTGACCCTGAGTCTGTCCCCTTACCTTGGGCTCCCCTGGCTTCTCGACGCTCGGGCAACCCTGCAAAGGAGACATGGTTGAAATGCTAGCCCAGAGGTGTGTACAGACAGATGAGGCTGGAGACTTAGGGTTTTCTCCATCCTAAAACTCCTAAAAATTGCAGGCCCGTATCTTCCTGTGTCCCACACCTTGGGCTAATCCCTGATCTCCTCTAGCCCAGTTCCCAAGAGGAGCTCTGGGGCACCGAGTCTCCAGGGAACTGATCTATGGTTACCCCCCATCTCCTGCCCACAGATTTGGGACCACCCCACAGGGGAGTATAGACAGAGTGGCTTGTGGGTGTTCCCCACTCCTTACCAATCTCATGGGCTTTAGTGAGCCTACACTGAAGTGTGATGTACCCCAGGCCTCCAAAGTAGGGTACTCTCCAGGTTCTAGGATATGGGGAGTGTCTTCAAAGAATGGTTTGGGGTATAGCAGCCACCTGGGGGGGGGGGGGAGAAAAAGGACCCCACTTATGGGGTAAAAAAAGGGAAGTTGTAGTGTATTTTTAGAGGGGAGGAAGAACTTTTGGGGGGGGGCTTGCACAACTATGTTAGAGAAGACATCCCAATCCTCTCTCCGTTCTAAAACAGCCTGTCCTTAGTACCCCTTCCTGTGCCCGCCCTCTCCAATTACACGAGGCAGTTAGAGTTACACACATACCTGCTTCAAACCCCTACTCTAATTAACCTCACAGGAAAGCCTAGCTACACACAGGCCTGCAATCTTCCTCCCTTGGTGCCTCCTGTCTTCCCGTCACTGTTTATACTGTATACACTGGCCAGGCTGGATTTTTGTAGTCCGATCCAGGAGATGGGACCCAGGATCTCATACTTGCTCAAAGTGTACACCCTACCACTGAATAACTCCTAGTCCCAGGCAAAGCTTGGTTTTTACGTCTGTTTGTTTTTGAAACACAGTTCAAGGTGGCCTTGAAATCCCAGCAATCCTCCTGCCTCCACTGCCTGTTGGAGACGTAGTCCTTATCCGGCTCACTTTTCACATGACTCCCTATTCCAGATAGACTCCTCCTCCAGTTGCACAGAGGACAGATAGAAGCTTCCTGACACCGGAGTTACAGAACATACAGAGACCACACCACTCTGAATGTGCCAGATCACGTCAGCAGAATGTACAAATTCCTGTCCTCTTGTGGTTTAGCTTCTCAGCTAGCTCATCCCAGCTGAGGCACCACTTTCTCCAGGAAGGCTTCTTTGACTACACCCACCTCCACTTCTACAGTTGGTTGACTTTCACATGTCCCTGCAACCCTGTGCCTCCCCCCCCCCCCTCCAGAAAAACCTAGGTGCTATTGTTGGGTGTTTAGATGCCCGTCCACACCGGAAGAGTAAGGAGTTTTGTTTTGTTTTTCTGTTTTTTCTGTTCGAAACAGTCTCACTCTGTAGACCAGGCTGGCCTAAAACTCACAGAGATCCACCTGTCTCTGCCTCCCAAGTGCTGGGATTAAAGGCTTGTGCCACTGAACCCATGCCTCAGACTGAATGCCTTTGAGAAGTGAACTGTCTATCTTATCTGCTCTGTGTCCCCAGCGCAGTGAATGTCCAGGGATCCCAGAATAGCCAGACTCACAGTCCTGCAGAGACAGTGGCAGATGCCACCTGTAGGGGTCTCTCTAGACCTTGAGAGTCTTTCAAGTCCCCTGTCAGCATCACTTGCTGGCCCTTGAGGCCCTCCTCAGAGAACAGGCTGATCCCTGGGGTGCGGTAGTCCTACGGGTAGAGGGAGAAGGGGAGATGTTCAAGTGCTAACTTTAGACTCCTCTGACCCACCTGTGCCCCAGGGCCTCCCATCTGGCGGGCCTCCCGGGGGCTCTAGAAAAGCCCAGCTGATCGTGTTCTCCACAGGCCAGCCAACCTAACCCTGGACCAAAGTTCCCAATGGTACCTTGTGAACTTCTGGAACCCAAGACCAAAGTCCCCAGAACCTGCAGAGGGTCAAAGTTGTCCCTTCTCTAGTTGGCTGACTTCCCACTTGCTGGAGGAAGCAAGATGGAGAGGCACTTCCTGATTCTGCTTTGATGTACAGTTCTGACCTCTGTCCAGACTGGCTTTTTGTTACTGTTCACGTGGGTGCTGTGTCTAGAATCCACACCCTTGCAAGGGCTAGGCAAGGTCTCCGCCACACCCCATGCTTGCTCTAGGGTGACTTTTTTTCTTTTTCTCAAGGTTTCATATAGTCCAGGCTAGCCTCGAATTCACAATGTAGCCAATGCTGATCTTAAACTTTTTATCTTTAAATTAAATTTATTTGTTTGTTTTGGCGGGGGTGAGGGAACACAAGCATACCACAACATGTGTTTGTAGGTCAGAGGACAACTTGTTGGAATTGGTTCTCTCCTTTATCAGGTGGGTCCAGGAGATCAAACTCAGGTTGTCAGTTCTGGTGACAAAGTCACTGAGTCATCTCAGCAGCCCCAACCTTCAGCTTCTTATTCCCTGCCTCGACCTCCTGGGTGCCAGGGTTACAAGCATGTGGCACTATGTCTGGTTTTATGTGGTGGTGGTGACTCCAAACCAGGATTCACGTAGCTTGGCATACACTCTACCAAATGAGCCTGCTCGCCCACTCCATAGCCAGCTTGGCTGTCTCAGCCAGCATGGCAGGGTTCTGGGCATTGTCTTTCTCCCTCACTGGGATCACTTTTATTTTCTCACGCATTCGCCAGATGATAACTCATCTGGATTGTGCTAAGGCCGCATTCTGCCTAAATGGGATCATTTAGTCCCTCAAGAGAAGGTCTCCACAAAGGAAGGTGAAGCTCGGCAAAGCTAAGCAAAGTTGCCCAGGATTACACAGCCTGGAAGCAATGGAGTCGAGAGCAGAGAAGGGTCATTTTGGTTTAGTGTCGCAACCCAGCACCTCCCACATGCCTGGCACACAGTAGGTGCCAACTCAGGGCTGAATGAATCAGATGGTCCCAGCACTGTATAACCTCAGAGCTCTTGTTTTCCTCCTGTGTCTCATGCCCTCCTACAAAGGGATGAATTCACTGTGAGTGTCTCAGCACGAATTGCCCACCAACATGTTTGTATCCGTAGAGCCTTTGACCACAGCCATCCCTTTCTTCCAGCTCTCGACCTTGTACTGGGTCCTCAGCTCTAGGACCTCATCACCCTTACCAGAGAGAGAACTCTGGCGTCAAGGGCTCATCTCACCAAAAACACTACTAGTTGGGTGCAACAGTGCATGTCTGGAGTGCCAGCACCTGGGAGGTGAAGGCAGGAGGACCAGGATTTCAAGACTAGCCTCGACTACGTGATGAGTGTGAGGCTAGCCTAGGCTGACATCAGACCATGTGTTTAAAAGAAGAAAAATGTCGCCAGGCATGGTGGCTTTATGCCCGTAGGCCTCTAAGCATAGCACTAGGGAGGCTGAGGCAGAAAGTTTGTTGCAAGTAAATTCTAGCTAAGTCTGGGCTCAGTGTGAGATCCTATCTCAAACAAAACAAAACAAAAACCCACAAACAAACCACCAAGGGTCTGATGGATTTTGTTCCTAGCATTGCTCTGCATCTCTCTAGGAGTTGATATCATTTTGTTTGGTTTTTGTTTGTTTGTTTGTTTGTTTTTTGGTTTTTTTTTTTTGGTTTTTCGAGACAGGATTTCTCTGAAGCTTTGGAGCCTGTCCTGGAACTAGCTCTATGTAGACCAGGCTGGCCTCGAACTCACAGAGATCCGCCTGCCTCTGCCTCCTGAGTGCTGGGATTAAAGACTTGCACCACCACCACTCGTCCGGATATAATTTTGTCAAATTCAGTATCAGTAGTTTATAAAGTTGTGCTATAAAAACAAACAAAGGGCCTGGCACCTAGCCAGGATCAGAGAAATGTCTGTGGGCTTGGCAGGAGGGCTCAGCTTGTAAAGATGCCTCTTTCCAAGCCTGGTGATCGGAGTTCACGCTCTGCGACCCACATGAGGAAGGAGAGAACTGACCTTCTCAAGCTGTCCTTTGATTCATCCATGCTGAGGCACGTGGGTGTACAGACACACACACACACACACACACACACACACAAATTAATAAAACTTTTAATTAAAAACACCAGAGAGGGGGATGTCTGTGAACAAGTAAATAAATAGGCTCCATAGCACGTTACCCAGAGCGGTGGGTGACTCTGGCCCATTTTGGCTACTCTGACCTAATTTTGATTTAGCACCAGCTCATACCTCTTCAGCTTGCTTACCCAGGGGCACAGCCCCCACCTGCCCATCAACCTACACCTCCCCAAAACTTTCTTTCTTTCTCTCTCAGTGCCTCCGAGGAACTCAGAGATACTCCACACTGACCCCCATCTGACCTCTTCCCCAGGTACCTGACCACTCACCCGCACAGCCCTCCTCAGGGAGCCGATGCCTGGGGTACTCCAAGTGGATGGCAGGGTGCTGATGTCCACATCCCCTTCAGGCAGAACCACCTTCTGGCCTTGGAACTCTGGCTGTTCGTATAGTATCCAGCTGTGGACCCAGAGACCCCAGGGTCACAGGGCAGGAAGTTGCGCCCAGAGTCTCTGAGTAGCTGGGGGGGCTCCTACGGGCCTCACCACCTTCCTCACCCCCAGGTTCACAGCCAGGTCCCCCCTCCCTGGCCACTCCCCACTTACCAGCCTCGCACCACCCTCACGGAGGCAACAGGGGTCCAGCCTGAGGTATCCGCAATGTCTCCCCAGATTTCCCTGCTTCTGCCCTGGCAGCCAGGCTCTGAGAATAGCATCACCTGGGAAACCACAGCAGGTGTCCTCAGGCCCTGCCACCAGGTACTGCCCCCTGCCAGTCTCCATTCGCCCCCCCATGTCCCTACCTTCCCAGGCCTGGTGTTCAGCTTGCCCTGAGTCTTCAGTGCTGGACTCTAGAACAGAGAGGGTGTCAGAGATCTTATGGGGTCACCACTTCCCCCACACTGCTCTTCCGAGAATCCCATGTCCTGCTGCTGGCCTCCACCCCACAGGATAGAGTCCATAGAGATCACCACCATTGCTTCCAGCTCCCACGGCCTCACCACCCTGCCCTAGGAACTGGGAAACATTCCTTCAGTTGAGAATGTCTTGCTGCAGTGAGAACCAGCAAGCCTTATGGGTTGTTTTATTTTGTTTTTCAAGACATGGTTTCTCTGTGAAACGGTCCTGGCTGTCCCGGAACTCACTCTGTAGACCAGGCTGGCCTTGAACTCACAGAGATCTGTCGTCTCTGTCTTCTGAGTCAGCAGGCCTTTTGGAATCTATATACTCCCACTATGCTATCATGGACACTGAGGCCCCAAATGATGTATATTGCAGAGTTCAACTACGCTCAAACACAAACCTCCTGCCTCCTGGGACCCAGCCTCCCAACACCACTCTTTCCAACCACTCAAGGGGAAGCCAGGTACCTCCCAAGCCCCTACAAGGTCTCACTCACCCACCCTTCCAGGGGTTGGGTAGGTGCTGGCTTCTCTGGTGGTGGCCTTCCACTGCAGAGCAGGGGTAATTGTCCCAGCACCTTCCTGACCCCTGGAGCTCCATGGGGTGGCAGAGCAGATAATTTTGAACCTAGAGGTTCCAGGGTAGGGATGTCCTTGTTGGCTGGCACCAGACTGCCAAAGAGAAGGCTGCCTCCAAGGCGGGAAGCAGGCCGGTTGCTGGGCTGAGGTCCGGGACCTTGATCTGCTGTATGCCTCTTCATCATCTCCAGAGGAGAGCAGGAGACCTTAGCAGGCTTGGGCGGGTCGGCATCCAGGGCGGGACTGGGCCCTGCTTTCTCCTGCCTGAGCTGGAGTTTCTCATCATCGCTCAGGTAAGGGTTCTCCAGCTCCTCCTCCTCCTCTTCCAACGCAGGTTCCTCCTGGGGACTGGGTCTTGGAAAGGATGGGCTCAGCTGATCCTCCTCAATGGCAGGCAGTGTGGCATACATGGCCAGGTAGGAGGAACGGGGAGCTCGGGGCAGTCGGTGAGTTCGGAGGATCTCAGGGGGTTCCATGCTCCGCAAGGTATCCAGGAAAATCTCCAGGTCGGCAGTCAGGGCTGCTTCATCCTCCTCCCTAGATGGGTCTGTGGTCTCATTCCCCTCAGTGGAGTCTGGGGTGAACTGGGACGCCATGTTGGTCTCTGCTCCCACTGGCTTTGGGGCAGGAGAGCCTTCTAGACTGAGGGACACCTTGGCCTCTGAAGAGGATGGAGCAAGGGTCCTGGCAGGGCTCTGGGGACCTTCATTTGGGGTAGGTGATGAGAAAGAGTTTCCTTGAGAATCCTGGACAACTTCATCCTGTTTGGGGGTCTGGGGAGTCGGGGCAGTGGGGCCTTCAGCTGTCTCTTTCCAAGGAAGGGAATGGGAAGGGCTATCTAAAGCGTCCTGGCCATCCTCCTTCTTGATGGAAGCACCTTCTTCTACAACCTTGGCTGAACTGGAGGATGAGGCAGTGGAAGCACCAGGGGCCTTCACAACCTCTTTGGGGATGTGGGAGTGGGCAGGAACACTAGGACCCGGAATATCCTCTTTCTGAGTAAGAACAAAAACAGGCATGTTTTCAGGGTCCTGAACAAACTTATTCTTTGGTGAAGCCGGAGCAGAAAGGCCTTGGGGACTAGGGACAGCTTTCCTCCTTACAGAGGATGGACTAGGGGGGTGCTCAGGAATTGTAACCCCATCTTTCGCCACAGGCAGAACAGGGGCGGTGGGGAGACCTGCAAACTTCTCTTCCACAGGGGGCAGGACATGAGGCATGGGCTGCGCTTTGAGGTGTGTGGGTACCACTGGCTGCTCTGGAGGATGCACCAGGGAGGAGGCACGGGTCTCGAGCTTGGGAGAAGAGGGTGTTGGCAGGTGGTTATGAGAAGTCTGGTTGGGGAGCAGGACAGGACTGGAGGCTCCCTGCAGCCTTGAAGATTCCCCAGCTCTGGCATCTGAGACACTGCTTTGGTCTTGGACTGGGAGGGCTGCAGGATCATCTAGGTTCTGAGTGCGATGATCGACCACGGGGATGCCTCCTGGTGTCAGGGCTGGGCTGTTCTTCAGTTCGGTTGTGCTAGTCTCAAGTAGCTGTCCCAGGGTTGTTCCCACTGTGCCACCGAGGGCTGAGCCCCTTGAAGTAAGTCCGGTGAGCCTTGGGATCCGGCTGGCTGGAGGGCTGCGCTCAGCCGGTACGAGGTTGCTCAGCAGTTCCAGGGCCTGACTGCGACTGGGTGCGTCCAGAGACTGGCTGCGGCCAGGTGTGTCCTCGGCTCTCGGGTTCACCACCACCGCCCGGATGGTTCGGGTCACGTTGCGGCCCCTCGGCAGGGTCTCGCCTGACATCGAGGGCCCCACACTCACAGAACTGCTCACTCGGCGGTCCACTTGCCCTCCTACCACCGTAGTGGTGGTGGTCCTCACCGTGCGAGTCACGCGCCATTCCTCACGGTTCCTGGAACCCCCGCTCGTGACACCCACACTGGGATGGGGACTCGGCTCACGTGGCCCGGGCAAGGGCACCAATAGTTCAGTCCTAGCCATGGATCCCACGCCTGGTGGCTCAGTCCTGGGAGCCTGGGGGCCACTATCACCCCAATCCACAGCCTCCTGTATCCTCACCACTGGCCTTTTCTCCTTGGGGGGTGGAATATATTTCTTGGAAAAAATGGGCCCGTGGCTTTGAAAATTCGTGGATCCAGGCTCCTCCCCAGGACCTTGACAATTTATAGTCTTGTCTTCTTTCTTAACAAAGCCATTGATTTCTCTCCGGAAGCTATGCTCCAACACGTCCTCCTTAGGGGTTTCCATCCGAGGACCCGACACCAGGGATACTTTGTGGAATCGATGTCTGGTCTCTTCCTGGACAGGGGGCCGTTGGCGCCATGTCAGTGTGGCGCTTACCACTCGGGCCTCGGCGCCAGCTGGGGTCCCAACTGTCTCTTCCATGTTGGGCCCCAGCAAAACCTGAGATGTCCTTGTCACACTGTGGTCTAGCTCCCTGAGGATGATAAGAAGGGAAAAAGGTGAGCAGAGGGAGGGATCCCCCAAATCACAAGACAACTGCCAGGCCCAGACTGAGCTGAGCACGCTTAGGAAAGTCACGTGACCTTTTGCCCATCTCACCAAGTGATGCCCCCTGTTCAGGTCCCAAAAGGCAAAGGAGGGGTGAAAGGGGATGAGTTATTCTGTAGACCAGGCTGACCTGGAACTCACAGAGATCAGCCTGCCTCTGACTCCCAAGTGCTGGGATTAAAGGCGTGCATCACCACTGCCCGGTGCAACAAACGTTCTTAATGGCTGAGCCAACACTCTAGACTACTGAATCTTATTTCTTTATGTTGTTTGTAGTGCTGGGCATCAAGCCCAGGACTTCATGAATGTTAGGCAAACACTCCATGGCAAAGTCATATTCTTAACCCTCTTGCTATTCCCTCCCTCATCTCCCTGACTTTCTCTTACCTCCTTTATTAGATGGGGGGCAATGAGTAACACCGATCAAGGCTGAAATCTGGGCTTGGGCACTTCTACAACAGAAACAGCCACCACATGCTGAAGGCACCCTCCGGGGCACCTGTCTAAACACTTTTCCATTTTGTTGTTCTACTGAGCCTGAATCTGGGGAGACTGGACATCATGAAGTGTGGGCTGGAGAGATGGCTCAGCAGTTAAGAGCAAATGGTGTGCTTGTAGAAGGTTCAAATTCAGTTCCCAGTAGCCATGCTGGGCTGTTTACAGCCAGCTATAGCTCCGGCTCTGGGAGATCCAATGCTCTCACGTGCAGACACCCACACACAGATATACACATACACATAATTAAAATAATAAATCTTTAAGAAGAATAAATCATAGAGGCTGGAGAGATGGCGCAGAGGTTAAGAACACAGACTGCTCTTCCAGAGGACCCTGGTTCAATTCCCAGCACCCACATGGCAGCTCACAACTGTCTGTGACTCCAGTTCCAGGGGATCCGGTACTCTCACACAGACATACATGCAGGCAAAACACCAATGCACAGGAAATGAAAATAGATAAATTATTTTTAAAAAGTAAATCATTACTAACTTATAAACACGCATTTCTATCTCACCAATGAGACTTATAAGGTTCGACAGATGACTCTGAACAAGAGTCACCCCTTAGCAATGAGACTTGCACCCCAATTCTAAGAGCTTAGTCACACTCAAGACTCCCCATATGTACATAGAGGTTTACATATTTATCTGGTAATCAAGGCTCTGGTTTGGTGGTTAATCTAATTTTTTTTTTGAAACAGGATTTTTCTAGCTGTCCTGGAACTCACTTTGTAGACCAAGCTGGCCTCAAACTCACAGAGATCCACCTGCCTCTGCCTCCCGAGTGCTGGGATTAAAGGTGTGCACTACCACATCTGGCCCTTTTTAATGTGTTGAAATAGTATCTTGTATGTAACTCTGACTAGCCTGGTAGTAGTTATGTAGCCCGTGTTGGCCTCCAACTCATATTAATCCTACTCAGCTTCCCAAGCCAAGCACGGGAATTATATGCTTGTACTGTCATGGCTGACTGGGGTTCATGTTGAGGTTTGTTTGTTTGTTTGTTCGTTTGAGACAGGGCATCATGTAAACCAGCCTGACTTTGAATTTTCTTTGCCACCAAAGAACATCTTGAACTTAATTTTTTTCCTAAGTTACATTCAGTGTGTGTGTGTGTGTGTGTGTGTGTGTGTGTGTGTGTATGTGTAGGTATCCCACGCTGGGCATGAGGAGGTCAGAAGATAAATTGTGGGAGTTGGTTCCCTCCTTGCACCACAAGGGCTGAGGAGACTGAGTTCAGGTTGTCAGACTTGACAGGAGACCTCCTTGTCCACTTACTCATCTCCCTAGCCATGACCTTGAACTTTGAACTTCTGGTAGGATTATAGGCCTGTACCACTCTAATTGTTATAGTCCCGGAATGCGACCTAGGGTTTCCTGCATGCAAGGCAAATACTCTACCAACTGAGGTACATCCCAGCCCTGGGGTTCACTTTTAGAAGAGCCCACCTCAGACCTTAAAGAACAATCCACCTGTAACCACTTGTCTCCACACACCACAAGGCTGTTTTAGGCTTGAAGAGTCCAGGACTCACCCAGCTGTAGCAGCCCATCCTCCAGTCTGTACCTCATCTTCATGACCCTGCCCCAAGAGGGCTATACTCTGAGTGAAATAGGTTCACTGCCCTGATTCTCTCCCCCCCATCTCTACCTCCCTCCTGCCTGAGAAACTGGAAGAAACCAGAACTTTGACCTGCTCTGTGGCCCCAGCCGTGAGTCAGGTTTTATGAGGGGCAGAGATGAAAGACTCAGAGGCCCGGAGATGCCTGACTCAGTTTCGGGACCACTGGTGGCTACCACGGCGTCTAGGATAGAGACCGTGGGGCCCCTGACAGCCTGTGAACGGTGATGGAGGGGTTGGATGACTCCCAAAACTTCTCCAACCAGAGTGTGTTGTGAGAACTGACAACACCTAGACACCCAAGGCCTGAACTCAGCTCCTCACAACAGCCCAACCCGACCCTCCCACCCTCATTGAAACTTTGTCCTCTCTGCTGGAATTCCCTATAGAACTTTGTCCCTCACTTCGCACTCAGACTCACAGAGTCTCCTCTTTCTTTCTTTCTTTCTTTCTTTCTTTCTTATTTCTTCCTTTTGGTTTTTCAAGTCAGGTTTCTCTGTGTGTAGCTCTGGCTGTCCTGGAACTCGCTCCATAGACCAGGCAGACCTCGAAGTCACAGAGATCCACCTGCCTCTGCCTCACAAGTACTGGGATTACCCCTCTCCATTTCTGAGTAACAACCGCTATCTTCATTCCCCTCCCACCCCTTGTCGCTGACGGCGGAAGGCAAAGCTTGAGTTATAACTTATTTTATAAGTTCACTTATTCCTTCATTCAGTGCTAATTACTGGAGGCAAAGGGCCAGCTGCTGGTCACACTCACCCAAAGCTAGTTTCCTTATGAAGATGATATCCCCAGAGTCCACAGCTAAAGGTCCAGATGTCTGGAAAGTCCCATGGGCTTCGGCAAAGTCTCAGGAAAACAGCTCAGGGGAAGTTGACTCCAGTCAGCCCAGAGTCTATTGATGACTCCCAGCAATCAGTTCCATGCCTTTCTCAGCCCGGCCCAGCCCTGGGACAACACCCCCTGATGGCCATTCATTCCTCAGGCATGTGGTCATAGCTTCTGCCTGCATACTTCTAGGGACAGGGAGGTCACCTTCTGACAGTTCACCTGTCCATCCCTGGACAGTCATTACTGCTAGAATGCCTTTACATGTGTTGGAATGTGCCTGCCTATAGCTCCCCATTTTTGTCTTTGTCTGCAGACACACCCCAGTAACCTAGCTACCGCCCCTGCAAACAGAAGTGCCTGTTCCCAGAGCCCTCTCATCTCAAGGGCCCACAAGTGGATTTGCTAGCAAGGTGACCTATGACCTCTAACAAGGTGTGTGGGGATGGGGAAGGGAGAGGCTGAGAAGGAAGGTGGAGGGGGAGTGTGGGAAAAAAAATCTCATCTAACCCAACATGTCCTGGGATTCTCTCCGCTTACCTGTGAGTCACACCCAAACTAGGCCAAACCAGTCCACAGGCCCACATGCTGCCAAAGACATGCTCCATCAGACAGGTATTCACAGAGTCAAAGACCCAGCACGTAACACAGCACAAAAATACACAGACACCCACCTAGACAAACACAGCCAGAAACGCACACCACCGCACGCATGGCACACACCAAGAGATACAAACACACAGAGACACCCTGAAACACAACAGGCATGCAAGCCACATGCTCCACCATGAAGCACACAGGCACCATAACACACATGTGCACATATCCCCAGCACACACCCATTTAGTTTACAACCACAGACAAGTTCTCTTTTTCTTGCCCTTTTATAGGGATACGTGCTCAGTGCACACATAGCTTCTACATTCCCACTTTCTACCCTGGCTGTTCTCTGCCTCTTTCCCCAGATTAGTTGAGAACCTTCCAGCATAAAATGGATACAGAAGGACAATGTCCCCAGGGGTCACCCTCCTTCATTTCTAAGTGGATTGTAGATTCCAATTCCAGTCTCTGTTCATCAGATTGCAACCAACCAGAACCCCGTGTTCCCCGGCCCGACCCACTATTTGTTCTCCTCTTCTCTCTAAGCCCAGCTCACCTCCCACCCCCTCATCCTTTTACAGGCTGTCTTCCCATGCTGGAGCACCCCAGCAGCTCTCAGGGCCAGTCTGAGCCACCCATGTCCTCCTCCCTAGGCACAGAACCCGGCACACCAGCTCCTACCCAGGGGGACCTGAGTCTTCATGCTTTGGCCTCTGTTAAGGGCACTGTCAGATCCACAGTGTGTTCCATACAGCAACCACAGGGCCACTCTGAGCTCTGCACAGCCACAGAGGCCTCCTTGCAAGGCAGATGGGGTTCGGGGGAGGATGGCCAGGCATAGACAAACGTGGCTCTGAAATCGGACTGTCCAGTTGGCTTTAGGAAAGAGACTTATCCTTACTGGGCCTCAGTTCCCTGATTCTCTAATTAGCTGGGGATAAAGGAAAGCTTCACCCCTAGTTAGTGAATTAAATCAAATTATTCTTAAAAAGACCAGCCACTGATGGCAGGTGCCGCCACCATCAGTAGGAGTTTCTCAGAGGTCCCATGTTGGGTCCTCAGTGAGTTCTGATGGATTTGCACTCCATCCCCTCCCCAGCCTACCAGGCCAATTCAGGAGACTCACTTCGACACAAATAAAAATCTAAGCTTGGGAGTCTTGGCGCCTCTCCTTACGGCTGCCAGCAGAGCCAGGTGGGATAATTACACTGCCAACGGCATATAATTAATAAGCATCCCTGCATTTTAGCAGCCCAGCTGAATGAGGTTCAAAGCATGCTCCCTTAGCCACCTCCTTCCTCATCTCTGACTGCCATACCCAACTCTCTGGGTCAACAAAGCAAGATCCTGAGAAGTTAAGGAACCTATGCCTGGGCACCCAACATCTTGGCTGGGAGCCCATTCCCAGGCTGGCTTTGCAATCAAAGAATCCAGGAGTAACAGCAGTTAAGGAAAGGAAGGTCACCCTGACTAGCCCATCCTCTCTGTGATGAGATTTGCCCTCCTGAGGGTGGGCAGGGGAGGAAGGCAGTGATGGGTTTTAGGAGGCAAGCCTGGGAGAGCGGAGTGTGAGGGAGAGATTATCGGAGCAGACACAGAGTTAGCTCACTCTCAAGGTACCAAATGAATGGGAATCTCAAGCCTGAGAAGCCTGAGAAGCCCAGAAACAAGACAGAGGGACCCGAGCAGGAGTTGCCACCCCAGGCCACCCTCCCACCATCATGTCTCTCAGCCACCAGCCTTCATTTACCTGCTGTGTGGGGATCCAGGCTCCCAGCCTTCTCTGAGCTCCTGCCAGGCCTTGCTTTCCTGATGCTGTGGGACACTCAGCCGTGACTCCTCAGGCAGGTTGATTGGACACCCAGTGATGGGGCGGAGTTCATGGGGAGGCTCCTGCCAACCCCTGGATTCCTCGGGGCCACAGGGGTGGAGATCTGGTCTGGCCGGTTCCTTACCCTCCTCCCCAGGTGCCTGCCCGCACCCCTGCAGGGTGACAGTGATGTGGTAGCGGGTCCTTTTGACACAGGGACCAGTACCTAGTGGCTCTGGCTCTGGCTGGGCTGGCTCTGGGGTGTCAGGCTTGCCCTTTGCCCTTGCTTCTGTGAGGAACGACACTGGGTGGGGCAGTAGGGGTGCCTCTTCCAGGTTGCTGGATATCTCTGGTCTCAGCAGAACCTCTGGGGTGCTATGTTGGGGGTGCTGGCAGTTGTAGCCTGGGGATTCCTCTTTCAAACAAGAAGGAGCAGGCTCTGGGCAAGAGGAATGACTGACACCATCAATGGCTTCCGCAGAGCCTGCTGGTGCTGGGCACTCATGCTCCATAGGGCCACAGCAGGCCAAGTCACAGGCACTGCCCACGGCTGGCCTCTGTAGCCTCCCCAGGGGTTCGCTTCGTCTTCCTGAGATGTGCAGTAGCTTCCGACTCCAGAAACCACCATGGCTCCCGACCTGAAGGTCCCATTCTGAATGGCTTTTGCTTTGGACCTGGTGGGAAGCAGAAGCCGGGACATAGTGACAGGGACATGGTGATGGCACCGCCCCTCTGGAATCCAGGTACCTCCGGCTATTCTTGGTCAACTTCCTTGACCCACAGGAAACAGAGCAGGACTCTCAGAGCTAGGAAATGGGGTAGGACCCTGGCCAAGTCTTTGCTCTCCGATTTTACTTACACAAGAAAGTGAAGCCTGGAGAAGACATCACATAGTAGGGAGGTAAAGTCTCCTTACTTCCAGGAACCACACTGCTGCCCCTATGGACAGGGACTTTCCTGAAGCTTCCTCCCAATCCTGTTGCTGCTTTCTCAGAGTGCCCAGCCTCTGGCCCTAATCTAGGGAGTAGGGAATGTGTGGGCATACCTGGCATGACTGCACACATCCTCGCTGGCTCCCAGCCACCAAAAGGCCTGCACCACTTCCCTTAAGCCCCCCCCCCCCCCCAGTCCCAAGTACCCACAGTAGACCTGGGAGGGTGCATATGGGCACTGAGAGAAATTCAGGGCGTGAGGGAAGCAAGGAAGAGCCCCCTATCCCAGTGCCAAAGAGGGGGACAATTCCTGGCCTGTCTGTTGTTCTCCCTGGGATCCAGCCTGGCAGGTCGTGGGAACAAGGGGAAGAGGGTAAGAATCCCAGACCAAAGCGGACACTGGCCTCACACTACCAGTTTTCAAGGATAGACTTGTGTCCTTGGCATTGGGAGAATCAAATCTAGGAACAAAATCCCACCTAGCAGGGGTGATTTTTTTTTTTTTTTTTTTTGCCCATCCTCTTTGTTTGTTTGTTTCAAGACAGGGTCTCACTATGTAGCTCTTGCTGTCCTCACTATGTAGACCAGGCTAGACTTGAACTCACAGAGATCTGCTTGTTTCTGTCTCCCAAGTGCTGGGATTAAAGGACTAGGTCAGGAAATAAAGAAGAGAAGGCCACAAGGAATGGAGGTCAAAGGCGCTGGAGGAGCAGGGGGCCCTGAAAACAGGCCCTGTGGCAGCTGTGCACCTCCCCAGAACCCCAGAACTAGATGCACACTTTTACTTATTGTTTAAACATTTCATCTTTTTACTCATTAAACATTGATTTTTATTCTTAAGTTATGTGTACACGCATGTGTACATGCAGGTATCCATGGAGTCCAAAAGATGGCATTGGATTCTTTGAAGCTAAAGTCACAGACAGTGTGTATCATCAGATATAGGTTCTGGGAACTGATGTCAGGCCTTCTGGAGGCAGCAAGTGCTCTTGACCACAGAGCCGGCTCCCTAGCACTGAACGGACACATTTTTGACACCCAGACGCTGTTGGCCTCCTGCATCTATTACTGAATTCCTCCCCACAGTTCTGACAGAGGCATTATTGTCTTGTCCCCTTTGGCAGAGAAGGGGAGAGATCTCCAGGGTCACACAAGGCAGTGGAAGCAAAGAGAGAGCCCACAAGTCTAGGTTCCTCACCCTGCCCAGCCCTCCAGAGCTCCCGCCCCCAACCTCCTGCCTTTTGCCTTTATCCTACCTTGAGGCTGACATTGTTGTTGCTGCCCTGATCCTGAGCAAGGTCAGGGCAGCTCTGGCCACCCCAGGGCCTGGGAAGGAAGCACAGAGAAAAGAATGAGCAGAATCCTGCTGTCCCAACCCCTGGCACACAGACTGAGTCTAGCAACCCTCACCCACCTCTGGAGAAGGCCTACCAACAGCCTCCTCCGCTTCCATCACCACTTCCCCAACACACACACACACACACACACACACACACACACACTCACACACACGCTGTCTCACACACACGCACACTCAACACACAGAGACAAATACATACACTGTCAAACACACAGGCATACACACTCTCTTTCTCTCTCACGCACACATAAGATACTCACATGCAGGAACACACACAGACACACATTCACATGACAAGAGGACAGTGTCCGGATGTTTGCCAAGAGCCTCCAGGTGCCAGGCTTAACGCTAGGGTCTGTGCCTATGTGATCTTTTTTTTTTTTCTTTTTTTTCTTTTTGGTTTATCGAAGCAGGGTTTCTCTGTAGCTTTGGAGCCTGTCCTGGAACTAGTTCTTGTAGACCAGGCTAGTCTCGAACTCACAGAAATCCGCCTGCCTCTGCCTCTCAAGTGCTGGGATTAAAGGTGTGTGCCACCACTGCCCGGCTCCTATCTGATCTCTTTTAGGCGTCAGAAAAATATCAGTGCCTAAGGACTTCAGATGAGAAAAACAGGCACAGAGAGTCAAAGTCACTTGTTCCGGAGTCACACAGCTAGTGAGCTTTAGAATAAGGTCAGCATGACTATCCTACTCCAAAGCTTGACTGGATGTTGAATTAATGAGAGAGAGATTTACAAGTGTGTTACCAACCCTCTGCCCCTCTCCTGAGTAATCAGGGATCAGAGGCCTGTTCAGGGTCCCATTCCCACCGGTAAGAGCGGGGTCCGACTGTATTCACAGCAAGCATGTATCATCACGTGGGCCCTGCGTTCTCGTTCCTGCCCTCCTCACTCCTGACTCACCCGAACCCCAAGCCAGCCTCCTCTCTGAGTGTGGAGGGGTGTAGGGAGAGCCTATCAGGCCTATAGGGCAGGTTTCTGCCAGACAGGGTAAGGGAGAGGGTGTGTCTTCCAGGTGGGGGTGGGCAGAGCCCTGGCAGGGTGTGGGCACCCCAGGGCTCTCAGGCTTCCAGGCACAGGGTGGCTGGGCCCTCCCCTCTATAGGGTGAGAGAGCAATACAAACCCCTCCCCTCTGCCCCACCACGCCCTCATCCCTCCTGGGCCAGCAGGCCCAAAGACAGCTGCGTCACGATAAGATCTGAACAAATTGCCCAGTAACTGCACAGACATATAAACACCCAACACCCAGTTCTGTCAGCACACCTACACACTCTGCTCACGCAGGGCCTGTGAGCTCCTGGGGCCTCTCAGATCTTCACTATCCACCCCTGAAGACATCAGGCTCAGCAATCCACAGGATAGGCTGTTCTCAGACAACCTACCATGAGGGACTCAGAGAGGGGAAGGAACTCGCTCATGTAACTCAGCCAGCAGGCAACTATGGGTAGCAGCCTGCCATCATGGCTTTCCCATCTGGCCACCTCCACAGCAGCAGAGCTTTTGGAGAAGTTCAGGAGGCAGCCAGCTAAGGGGCGTGTCACAGCGGCACCTCTTCCCAGCTGTGTGACTTTAGGTAGGTGACCTCACTTCTCTGAAACTCTTCAGGATCTGAGTCACATGGGACACAGGCCTCACAGGGCCGCCCGTCTGGGCCGCTTCAGATCATTTGGGGAAAGCAGGAAGCAAGGGGCATATGAAGGTTTGTGGTGGGTACAGGCTAGAGCTATCGCTAGGATTCAGGATGACAGAGGGAAGCCTATGTGTGGCATCTGGGGGCAAACACAGTGCAAAGACAGCTCCTGGACCTGCCAGACTCACAAGGGCCCGAGAAACATTGACCTGTGAGGTGAGAACCAAAGTCCACAGCGGGCAGCAGGAGGAGGTACTACTGGGTGGGTCCGTAAGCAGCTTGCCTGACAGGAAGTTCTCAAAGTTGCTTTAAATAAAAAAAAAAGAACAAAAACAAACAAACAAGCAAAAAACCACAAGGACCTGTCCAATGTAATGGAGCATATTTGTAATCCCTGCACTTGGGAGACTGGGCGGGAAGATTTTCACAAGTTTGAGGCCTTGGCTGTTCTACACACATATTACAACATAGGGATACTGTATTTAAAACAAACAAACAAAAAGTCCACGGAAAAATCCCACAACTCACAGATTCACAGATCCAAATCATGGCACATCGTCATATATATTTTTGTGCTCTAAGATAGTCACATACTGATTTGAACACTCATTAAACTTTAATACACAGTAATCCCAAGCACATACCCCCTAGGCCAGGGACGCCCCACCCAGCCTTTCTCCATCTCCCCTCACCTATCCGGGAGTCTGGTCTCCTTTGAGATCTTGCCCCTGCGTTCCCTTCGGCCCCCTAGTCCAGTCAAGAACCGGGCCAGGCGAGCCCCAAAGCCCTTGCGTGGCTCTCTCATGGCGAGATCATGGGGCTTGAGCCGGCGGGGTGCTTGGCTGCAGGTGCCACCCGGATCCGCTGTCCAGGCAGAGAAGCGCCACCTCCGGCCCGTCCTCCTGAGCAAACAGCAACCTCGCTCGCAAGGGCCGCGGGCGGGGACTGATCCAGAAGTTGTCGGTGCCCTGGAACGCAGGTGCACCTTTAGGGGACCTTGAACACCCCAGGTCCTAATCCGGACACGCCCACACCGAACCCCCTCTTCCGAACTCTGCTCTCTGTTCAGTCCGCCCTGCAACTTCACGCCTCCGGATGTCGGAGGTGGGTTTGTGTGAGCACTCGAGGAGCTGGACCTGAGCAAAAGACGAAAGGAGTCTGGGACCCGCTGGGACCGGGGAGCTGAACCGAGCCTAGGGAGGTGCACGGTAAAGGAGCTGAGCGAGCTCGGACAGGAAGCGGGCAGACTCCTATCAACCCGGTGGGGCCAAGCCCGAGGGTTGGCATCCCCGCGACCCAAAGGTGTGACAAAGGTGAGCCGAAGTCCACCTGCCATCGCCTTAGGGGCTACCTAGGAGGGTTCTCTCTGTCTTGGTGCCACCCACCACGTGGAGTGGGACTGTCACTCCTTTTGGAGATGAGGAAGCCACAGGAAACCAACGGAGGCGCGACTGGCGCCCTCTGCCGCAGGTCGGCCAAAAGAACCTCCCAGTGGCTAAATATGAGTCATTTTTTGTAGCCTTCGTTTATTGTGGCTCTACCCTGATCCTGCCGGGCAGTTCGATTTCCCCACCTTATGCCACCTGGCTCATGTGTGGAGGAAGGAACCACTTTGCACATCTGAGGGGATCCCGTGGAGATTAGCCACCGGTAGGGCTGTTACCCCCACTCTTTTGCCGGTTCTTCCCTGTCTATAGTCCTAATTGGCTGGATACCCCCTGCCCTGCCCTCTGGTCCTGGTACATCAGGGACCTCATGATTCTGGATCATGAGAGAACAGGAAAATCTATCTGTGCCTCTTTTCTCACCCCCATCCCGTGGAGATGGCAGGATTAGTAATACCAGCTGACCTCTCTGCCTTGGCTGAGTAGGAACTGAGATTAGAAGGTGTCCGGAGTGCACGGACAATCGGGAAGGTGTTGGGTTAAGACGTTCAGGAAGGAGGGCAACGTGTCCTGTACTTGGACTGCACACAAGTGAGTTCTTGCTTCATTCTCCCGTTACTTCCACGTGCTCTCCATCCATCAGCCCAGGCAACTAACGTGGCTGATAATAATGGAATGGCTCTAGTTCTCCTGCCTCCGGTGCCCCTCCTCCCACCGAGGACACTCTGCCTTCATCCAGTCCTGAAAGGCAGCACTGTCCGCTGGAGAGATGAGATGGAGCGCTCAGCCCTAGATAGGTCACAAACAAGGAGTGGAACCCAAACCCAGTCTGAGGTGGATGGTTGCATGCTCCTACCGCACTCGGGCTGTGTGCCCTGCCCTGCTCCCAGGAGAGGGACGGGTCGGGATCTGGCAGGTGCATGGGGCTCCCAAGTGCACGGGGAACATTCCCTTCCATTAGAGACACTCAGGAGGTCTTCACTCAGCTCTGGGAGAATCTTTTAATTTCCAGCACTCCGTTCCCAGAGCAGCCCTAGCCCCACTGCTCAGGCTGGCTACCCTTGCTTTCCCGGGGACACTGAGGACGCCTTGACCTTGTCCACATCCCAGCCCATCTTCTCCGATGAGTCGTCCACGAGAGCTAGTGCTCCTCAGTGCCACTGGGCAAGACAGGTGAGAGAGGTGAGGGGCAAGTGGCTGTGGGCCAGGCTACAGGGCTGAGGAGCCTGCAGCTTCAGATGGACACGCGGGGCGGAGCCACTGGAACAGACGTTGCACTGAAAGGGTTGGGCACCTGAGTGCAGGCGAAAGTGGGTCTTCAGGTTGCTGGAGCTGCTGAAGCGTCTGTGGCATATCTGACAGAAATGGGCACGGGCACTCACGTCATCCTTGCCCTCCGATGGACTCAGGGCCTCTCTCCCCATCCCACCCGTCTTGGACACACCTCCCCTAAGCCGCCTCCCTGTCAACTGCAGACCCAGAGGCTTCTCTCCCCGGGATCCACAGCAGGACACACTAGAGCCTGGCAGGTGGGGGCTAGCATTCTCCTTTACTTCCTGTGTGACTTTGTATAACTTCCCTCTGAGCTTCTTTCTTTCTCTGTCAGTTATAGATGAACACTAATTCCTAGCCTCATTAGTTAGGGAAGCCCGAATAAGGTTGATCGCTTAGAACCGTGATGTGAAGGGCTACAGCATCTACCATTACCGGGGAGCTGGTCAAGCCAGGAACTGACCTTGTCTAGTCTTCCCAAGAAGTATGACTAAACCCCAGCGAGAGAGCAGGGACTCCGGGGAAGGGAGCCTCTAGCCAAAGGCCCCACAAGTCGGGAGGAGGAGCTAGGAGCTGAACAGTGGTCTGAATTCATAACCTAGACTCATAACCACTACAGTGCTCTCCTTTCTGCTCCTGGAGCAGGAAGAGATTCCCCGCCTCTGCCTTCCCAAAGAATGAGACCAGACTGGAGGAGCTGCATCGATCCAACTGTTTGCCTATTTGGATACTTCCTATCTGCTATGGCTCCTTCAACTACCCAGGGAGGCGGGTGTGTGTGTGTGTGTGTGTGTGCAGGCTCCAGGATCTTCAACTTCCTTACTCTCCATGCACAGGCATGCAGCTGTGCTTTCTCCTCCAACACCATACATTCCAGTGGCCTGCCCTGTGCTTGAGTGTTCACAAACACGCGCGCACACACACACACACACACACACACACACACACACACACACACACACGCTCTCGCCACTAGCTATCTTCCCACCCTCTACCTTCTCCTCTCCATCTTTACTTATCAGGATTGGGAAACAGAGGCCCAGGAGCCCTCCCTCCAGGGACCTAGAATTCCTCACCAAGCTGCAAGGGAAGAAGGGTCTCACCCGGCACTGGTGGGGCCGCTCCCCGGTGTGCACCAGGTGGTGCTTCTGTAGGTGGGCCAGCTGGGTGAAGCTCTTCTGACACAGGACACACTGAAATGGACGCTCTCCACTGTGCACACGCAAGTGGACCTGGAAGAAGTATTGCCAGCTGCCCGAAATGTCTAACAGGGCTCAGAGTCCACTCCAAATCTCCACCCAAAACCCTCCGCAGGATCTTTTGCTGTCATCCAGGTCTTATCACTTCCCTCAGACACTCATAATACACAGGACACTCTCATTTTTTGGTCTTCTCTGTAGCAGAGATTCAGGAAGATAGATAAGGGATACCCCAGATAACCCCTTGAATTGCTCCTTGAAGTGTAATTCACAGACCAGCAGCATCACGTGTGACCTTGGGAGTATGCTAAAAAATAACAGATTCTATGGGCTAGAAAGATGGCTTAGTGGTTAAGAGCAATGACTGCTCTTCCAGAGGACATGGGTTCAATTCCCAGCACCCACATGATAGCTCACAACTGTATGTAACTTCAGTTCCAGGGCATCTGACACCCATAGCAAAACACAAATGCACATAAAATAAATACATTTTTAAAAATGCAGAGTCTAGGGGCTGACCTCTAGGTCAGCTGAGCCACCACCTCTGAGGCTGGAGCCTGGGAATCTGCAGGTTTGCTAGCTCTCTGAGTGGTGGCTTAGGGTTTGTGAAAGGCTTAAGCAATCCTTCCTTGGAGGATCCAGTAAAGCTGTCTCCCCAGTAACCATATCCTACACATAGCTTGTGGCTAACAGTGAGGGGCCCCCATGGGCATCCCCTGCTGGATGATGTACATGAAGACACCTACAGCACCTGGCCTGATTTGTGGGATCCCACTTGAGAAAGGTTGTAAGACTGTGGTCTTGAGTCACCAAAACCTACCCATTCCTCCTCTTTGATCTTCAAAAACAAGAAAGAGGCTTAGTTGGGGACCCAGAGAGGATGCTGTCTGGGAGGGAGCTCAGTAGTTGACGCCAAGCTCTATCCCTGGAATCCTGTCTACTAGGGACCTCAATTTCTCATTTTTAACTTAAAGTGATCTCACAGACAATCTTTCAGGATGGGGGAGACTTTGATGTGCACATACCTACCCTTTATTTTTTTGAGACAGGGCCACCCTATGTAATTCTAGTTGACCTGGAACTTGATATGTAGACCAAGCTGGACTCAAACCCACTCAGATCTGTTTGTCTCTGTCTCCCAGGCGCTGGGATTAAAAGCCACCACACCTGGCTTTTTTAAAGTTTCTTTTTATTTTTTAGATGGTGCGGTAGTTTGAATGAAAATGGCCCCATAGAGCCAAGCAATGGTGGCACACACCTTTAATCTTAACACTTGGGAGGTAGAGGCAGGCAGATCTCTCAGCTCGAGGCCAAGCTGATCTACAGAGTGAGTTCCAGGACAGCCAGAGCTACATAGAAAAGCCCTGTCTCAAAACATGAAAGAAGAAGAAGGAGGAGGAGGAGGAAGAGGAGGAGGAGGAGGAGGAGGAGGAGGAAGAGGAAGAGGAAGAAGAAAGAAAGAAGAAAATGGCCCCATAGGCCCATGGAGAGTGGCAACATTAGGAGGTGTGGCCTTGCTGGAGTGGGTGTGGTTTTGCCGGAGGAAGTGGGTAATTGCAGCAGGAGGCTTGGAGGTCTCAGAAGCTCAAGCCTGGCCAGTGTGTCTCTGTCTGTTCCTGCTGCCTGAGGATCCAGACGTAGAACTTTCGGCTACCTCTCCAGTACCATGTCTGCCTCCATGCTGCCATGCAATACAACCCTGACTAAGACAGGAGGAGTTTCATTATATTGCCCAAACTGGTCTTGGACATCTGCTGCCACTCTCTTGCCACGGTCTCCTGACTGACAAAATCAAAAGTATGCTCCACCAAAACCAGGCAGTGGTCAGCTTATCCTGGATTTCCACCTGGGTGAACCTCAAGACCATTTGGCCCTAGGAGGTTCCCGGGAGTGGCTTCCAGATTTCAGGAAAGGGGAAAGGCAAGAGAGTCCTGAACCCTGGAAGGTGATACCTTGAGGTTGGAGAGCTGCCCAAAGTTCTTGCCACACACATTGCACTCGTATAGGATTTTACCATTCTTTTTCTTCAGAGGGTAGGGCAGGGTTACGACACCAGCCCGGGAGCCTGGCCGCTTTGTGGGAGCTGCCACACCAGCCTGTCCTGGGGAGAAGGTTGAAGCATCTCTAGAGCTCCGAGTCCTGACCTGGGGGTATAGGGTGTGTCCAGCACTCTGGAAAGGCTCTGAGTAGAGAAGCAGGGGCTTCTCCTGGGTGATATGGGGCCCAGCTTCATTGGCTGTCATAGGCAAGCTGGATGCAGCCACTATGGGGTACGAGGTGTCTGGGGGCAGCATGAAGAGGTACGGACTTTGGGCTGAAGGTAGGGCCCCATATGTGAATAGGTAAGGGGGAGGCAGGAAAACTGGGTACTCAGGAAAGACTGGGTAGATATAGACAGGGAGTTGCTTGGAGATGATGGTCGGAGGAAGCCAGGGCCAGAAGGTCAAGGGACTAGGGCTCTCTCTGTCCAGCCTGACATCTGGGGAAGAACTGGTATGAGGTGGGAGGGGTAGGCAGGTGCCTCTTTCTGGTGGGTTTTCCATCTCATCTCTGCTTAGCGGGTCCTTGGTTGTGAGTTTCTCACTGTCCATGGAGTCTCCGTGTGGACCTGGTGGCTGATGCTGTGAACCAGAAAGGGAAGATGATCAGGCCCCCCACACAGGACTGCCCATCTGCCTCCCCCCCCCCCCCGTAAGCCTGCTCAGCTTGGAGTTGGGAAAGAACCTGCAAGATGATGAGGCAGCTTGGGTTGGGCACATCCCTGTGGGACTCAGTTTCCCCAGTGCTACTAAGCCTGACAGTTTCAGGGAGAAAAAGCTGTATAGGCAGCCGGAGAGGTCAAGATTAACTGAAGTTTAAAGGAGAGGCCTCGGATTAAATATATAAAGTTGGATGCCATGGGTCAAGAGGAGGTCACACAAGGGTCCCAAGGGGCAGCTGTTGAACACATGACTAAATTTACATTAAATTAAGTTTAATAAAATGTTCGGTTCTTTAGTGCATGCCTGTTATCACAGAACTTGGGAAGTAGAGGCAGGAGGATCAGGAAGTAATGCAATGGCAGCCTAAGCTGCATAGTAAGTATGAGGCCAGCCTGGGCTACATGGGACCCAATAAAAGTGAACAAAAAAATTAAAATAATAGGGGCACCAAAATGGCTTAGCAGGTAAAGGTGCTTGCTACCAAGCCTAAGGACCCGAGTTCAAGGAGTTCAAGCTCTAGAACCCACATGGTGGAAGGAGAGAACAGACCCTGCCTGGTTGTCCCCTGACCTTCACATGTGCACCATGGCATGTTCACACACACACACACACACACACACACACACACTGTACAGTCTTGCCTGGCCTGGAACTCACAGATATCTGTCTGCTTCTGCCTCCTGAGTGCAAGAATTAAAGGTG